TGGGACACAGCACTGTCATTGTACATGTTGCAGATATGGCGTGTTTCACCTTGGTCAGGGTGATACTTTTCAACAAAACTTTGCAACTCATTCCACATTCCACACATGTCCTTAATCACTGAAGAAGGAACCTCCTTCACTCTCTTTTCCTCCTCCTCTGAAGCAAGTTCCTTGGCTGTGGTCTGATGCTGTTCCAGTTGAAGCTCTTGCCGTTCGTCAGTGGTTAGCTCTTCCCTGTGGTCCTCCACCAACTCTTCCACATCCCCGTCACTCACCTCCAACCCCATGGACTTGCCCAATGCCACAACACCTTCCACAACAGGCAGAGTGTCGGCAGGGACAGGGTCTGCCTCAAACCCTTCAAAATCCCTCTGGATCGTGTTCCTCTCTTTATTTACCAAAGTGCTTGCACTAGCTTTCCTTGGGCCCATGATGACTTGTTTAGCAGTTGCAAGCACAAAAAACAATGTATTATTATGAAATGTATTGTATGAACCTGCGGGGTGATGGTCACGTGTTGGTAAACAATGGCACACTGAGCGTGAATGGCGTGGGAGACTGGCTTGGTGTGTGTGGTGACAGGCGGATGGGTACCTGACGGTCGCCGAAACACGAGTCTAATCACGAAACTCGAGGCCAAATTTTGCCAAAAAAAACTCGCCGAAGGTCGAATTTCAAGAAAGTTGATGCTGCCGAAACTCGAGAATCCACTGTATATGCATTTTATTGCTCTAGGGAGCTTTATGCATCGTTGTATAGTATGTGTGGGTCAGGTGGCCATAAGGGCTACCACGCCTGACTTCTTAGAGTAAATACTACTCACCTTTTGCCCCACATTAACACTACAAATATTGCTATTTAATATATGTTAGTGTAAACTTGTTATCTGGCATTTATATGCACTTATAAATGGAAAAATGGAGTTCTGCTTTCCGGTGAAGTCTTCTTTCTGACAGTAACCTGGAACCTAACCTGCAATATAAGTGGGGCCCTACTGTATATACACTAGAATAAATGAAATATTACATATGTGAGTATTGTTAACCCTTTCAGTTTCCAGAGGCCAAATTTCAGTGTGCACCAGTGTCCAAGAATTTTCAAAAAATAATTTTGTTATTTTTTCTTATGAAATGGTAGAGAATCTTTTTCTGAAGGTAATAAAACGACAATTACGAAACTTGATGGAAAATTGATGAAATTATGCTCTCGCAAATTTGGACATGTCAACAATATTTAAGCATCGGCGATTTTGCGATTTTGACTCCCATTTTAGGCCAATTACATTATTCCAGTCGACCAAATTCTTAGCTATTTCACTAGTATTCTATTCTATCAAGTGAGCACAAGAAATCGCCGAGTCAACTGTTTCAGCTACAAAATAAAGTGATCAGAAATTGGTAATTTGGCCAATTTAATGCAAAGTTTAAAATATTCCAATTTCAAAATAGGGTCCAGAATAAACAATGCAGGTATTCCTGGCACTAAACTAACATTTCCTCTGTTCGTTAGCTACGTTTTGAGGCTTTACAAATGAATTCCATTTTGATTTTTTATTCACAATGAATTTTTATTCAAACCAAAAAATAGAAGATATACAGTGGACCCCCGCATACCGTACGCATAGCATACCGTACAATCCGCATACCAGACGCTTTGATCGCAAAAATTTTGCCTCGCATACCGCCCAAAAACCCGCTCACCGCCCTTCGTCCGAGACGTGTCCAATGTGCGGCCTGAGCCACGCTCACATGTTCCGCCGGTGGCATTGTTTACCAGCCAGCCTCCGCGGTAACATCCAAGCATACAATCGGAACATTTCGTATTATTACAGTGTTTTTGGTGATTTTTTCTGGAAAATAAGTGACCATGGGCCCCAAGAAAGCTTCTAGTGCCAACCCTACAGCAATAAGGGTGAGAATTACTATAGAGATGAAGAAAAAGATCATTGATAAGTATGAAAGTAGAGTGCGTGTCTCCGAGCTGGCCAGGTTGTATAATAAACCCCAATCAACCATCGCTACTATTGGTGGTACAGCTGCTGCTGCACTGTCAGCTGCTGCTGCTGTTGTACCACCGTCAGCTGCTGCTGCTGCTGTAGTACCGTCTGCTGCTGCTGTAGCATCATCTGCTGCTGCTGTAGCATCGTCTGCTGCTGCTGTAGCATCGTCTGCTGCTGCTGTAGCATCGTCTACTGCTGCTGTAGCATCGTCTGCTGCTGCTGCTGCTGTAGCATCGTCTGCTGCTGCTGCGCTGTAGCATCGTCTGCTGCTGTAGCTCGTCTGCTGCTGCTGTAGCATCGTCTGCTGCTGCTGTAGCATCGTCTGTTGCTGCTGTAGCATCGTCTGTTGCTGCTGTAGCATCGTCTGCTGCTGCTGTAGCATCGTCTGTTGCTGCTGTAGCATCGTCTGTTGCTGCTGTACCACCGTCAGCTGCTGCTGCTGCTGTAGCACCGTTGTTGGTGTGGCTTATTGAGAATACCAAGAAACAATTAACCCCAGAGGATTTGCCACCCAGGATAACCCAAAAAAGTCAGTGTCATCGAAGACTGTCTAACTTATTTCCATTGGGGTCCTTAATCTTGTCTCCCAGGATGCAACCCACACCAGTCGACTAACACCCAGGTGAACAGGAAAAAACGCCTGGAACTAGTGCTCATATTGGTGAATTTAAAGCCAGCAAAGGTTGGTTTGAGAGATTTAAGAATCGCTGTTGCTAGATAAGTCAGCTGTTGCTGGATCAGTCAGCTGTTGCTGGACCAGTCAGCTGTTGCTGGATCAGTCAGCTGTTGCTGGACCAGTCAGCTGTTGCTGGATCGTCACTGTTCTGGACCAGTCAGCTGTTGCTGGACCAGTCAGCTGTCTGGCCCAGTCAGCTGCTGCTGCACCACGGTCAGCTGCTGTTGCACCATCAGCTGTCTCTGAACATGACTCGTCCTGAACCTGTCCCGAACCTGTCCGTCCAGCCTGAGCGCCTGCCTTGCCGTCAGTGTTTACAAGCCAGGGTGGCCGGTTGCATGCATACATTCGATACATTTTGTATTATTCCATTATTTATAGTGCTTGTAACTGCTAAATAAGCCACCATGGGCCCAAAGAAAGCTTCTAGTGCCAACCCTGTGGTAAAAAGGGTGATAAAATACTATCGTACCACAGTCAGCTGCTGCTGCACCACAGCTGCTGCTGCACCACAGCTGCAGCTGCACCCAGCTGCTGCTGCACCATGGTCAGCTGCACCACAGCTGTTGTTGTTGCTGCACCACCATCAGCTGTATTACTCGAAGATGTGGAGGAGAGTGTTGTTGGTGTGGCTTAACGTGAAACAATTACCGAGAAACAATTAACCCTGGAGGGTTAGCCACCCAGGATAACCCAAGAAAGTCAGTGCATCATCGAGGACTCTAACTTATTTCCATTGGGGTCCTTAATCTTGTCTCCCAGGATGCAACCCACACCAGTCGACTAACACCCAGGTGAACAGGGAAAAATGCTGGAACTAGTGCCCATATTGGTGAATTTAAAGCCAGCAAAGGTTGGTTTGAGAGATTTAAGAATCGTAGTGGCATACACAGTGTGATAAGGCATGTTCTGGAAGAAAATGCCAAACAGGACCTACAGTACTCAGGAGGAAAAGGCACTCCCAGGACACAGTGTCTCATCAGTCATTGCTGCATCTTCAATAAAGGTAAGTGTCATTTATTCTTCATTTTAGTAGAGTAGTACATGCACAATATATATTGTGCATGTACTACTCTACTATTGTGCATGTATCCTTCTCTTTGTGTGTAGGAAAATGTATATTTCATGTGGTAAAAATTTTTTTTTCATACTTTTGGGTGTCTTGCACGGATTAATTTGATTTCCATTATTTCTTATGGGGAAAATTCATTCGCATACCGAACATTTCGCATAACAACCAGCCCTCTTGCACGGATTAAGGTCGCTATGCGGGGGTCCACTGTACTGTTATGCAGTATTGTAATAATTATATAAATAATATCACCACATTTTTGAACATATATTAGACCCACCAGCAGGCATGTATTAGATGTGTGAGGTCATTTGTTTACTCTTGAACATCAGCAAAAATTTAACATTTCCGCTACATTGAGCTCAGTTTCAAGCCATTTCCAATACTAAAACCAATCAAAATCAAATCTATTTCTGTAATATATCTTCCATTCTGTCAAATGAGACCAAGAAATCACAAATACAACTATAAAAAACATACAAAAAAACACTGCAAAGTCACCGTTTTAATCGAATTATGGTGTCAGTTTTTTTTCTCTCATTATGCACTGTGTGCTGGAGGATTTGCTTTATGTGGTGCACATATACCACATAGATGTATTCTCTCATATCTAGGCCAAAATTTATCACTCACAGCTTATCAGAGTGAGCTGAGCTCATGGCGTAGATCTATGGTTTGGACCTCCAACATAAAGCCGTAGATCTACGGCACAGACCCTGAAAGGGTTAATTTAGGTGGCACAATGGCCTTTGTTGTTGTTGTTGTTGGGGTGTATAGGGCCATCACAGCGGCCATTCCTACATACCTTCCCATGCTTTTATTATAACAGAAAATGGAGTGCTTGTTAGGCAACCTCCATTAGATCACTATGTACATAGTTTCCTAAGGAAAGAAATTATGTAGTAATACAACATTTACTCTGGAGATGGAGAAGAGATGCTGGGCACATCAGCGTATGCTAAATTATACTTAGTACGTACATATTACTATAGTAATATTGCGTATTATTATTATTATTATACATATTATTATATTATACGTATTATTATTATTAATTAGTATGTACGTATTCTTATAATAACTCTTGCTTACCATTTGGAATTTTTATTCACACAAAAAATAGATGATTTACTGTTATGCAGACTGCTGCATTATTGTAATAATTGTATAAATAATGTCAACCCATTCATGACTGCATATTAGACTGGCCAGTTGGACACACATTAGACAGTGATGTCATTTGTCTACTCTAGAACGTCAAAAATCAAACATTTCTGCTACTTTGAGCTCAATTTCAAGATGCTTTTTGTCATGAAACCAATCAGAATCATGTCTATTTCTGTAATATATCTTCCAGTCTATCAAATGAGGCAAAAAAAAACGAGAATACAACCATAAAAACCATATGAAAATATACCCCAAAGGGGTGGCTAATGGCTGAGAAGTGAACTCTTTTATTTATGATCCGATTTCTTTCAATTTTGGTGTACATTAACCCTTTGACTGTTTTGGTCATATATATGTATACGTCTTACAAGCCAGTGTTTCAGACGTATATATACTCAATAATTCTAGCGGCTTTAAATCAAGCAGGAGAAAGCTGGTAGGCCCACATGTGAGAGAATGGATCTGTGTGGTCACTGTGCACCATATAAAAAAAATCCTGCAGCACGCAGTGCATAATGAGAAAAAAAAAGCTGACCACTTTTTTTGGATAAAAATGCTGACTTTGAGGTGTATTTTCGTATAGTATTTATTGTTGTATTCTCGCTTTCATGGTCTTACATGATAAAATGGAAAACATACTACAGAAATAGAGATGATTTTGATTAGTTTCACAATTTAAACGACCTTGAAATTGAGTTCAGAGTAGCGGAAACGTTTGATATTTGCCAATGTTCAGGAGTAAGCAAATCACACCACACGTCCAATTCACGTCAACTGGGGAATCCAATATTCTTTCACTAGTGCACTGATATTATTTATACCATTTTTACAATAATGCAGTAGCCTGCAAAGCAGTAAATTTTCTATTTTTTGTATGAATAAAAAATTAAAATAGAAAGCAATAGTAATATAAGAGGGGTCTAGAGACGTGACTAACAAATAGAGGATATGTTATTTTAGTGCCAAGAACGTCTACATTGTTTATTCTGGACCCTATTTTGAAATTGGCATCTTTTTTACTTTGTGTGAAATTGGCCAAATTGCCAATTTCTTACCACTTTATTGGGTAGTTCAGATCGGTAAATGGGCAGTTTCTTGTACTCAGTTGATAGAAAAAAATGGAGTTCTAAAGAAATAGCTATGAGTTTGGTCAACTGGAACAATGGAATTGGCCAAAAATAGGGCTCAAAGTCGGCAAAATCGCTGATCCATATGTCACCGAGACCACTAACTTCGCGGGAGCGTAATTCCATGAGTTTTCGACCAAATTTCATACTTTTGGTGTCATTACCATCAGGAAAAGATTCTCTATCATTTCATAAGAAAAAATAATTTTTTTTTTCCAAAAATTTTTCGACATAGAATGACAGTCTCAGAAAGAGGCTTACGACAATCAAAGGGTTAAGAAGCGTCTTTCCATCATACATTACCCAAGTTTCAATAAGATAGTCCAACAAACAAATGAGATTCAATTCCCTAGATCAAGAGCAATAGCCCCTCGCCAGCGTCGAGGAACCTCCTTTGAGGCTCGCTCACATCTGGAAATTTTGCTTGCATCTGGAAGCAAAAAATCAACTGAGTGATGGCTTGTATCTGGAAAAACTTGCACGTGGCTGCACTCGTAAGTAGAGGCTCCACTGTATAATTGTAGTGTTAATTACCATATGCCTCTTGTATATGCTGATGAATGGTAAAGCACATAAATTTTAATGACTTTAATAAAATGAGAAGCAAAAGGGTAGTAACCCCTTCTCCCATATACATTACAGCCTCTCCTCACATAATGATGGGGCTCCGTTCTTAAGAGTAGGTCGGTAAGTGAAATGGTTGTTAAGCGATGAGCATACTATACTGGTAGTGGGTTTGTGTCAACCATCTTTAGATTTTTTTAATGTCACCTTTGCACCATTTATAACATTTCTGGTATATTTTTAAATGTTTATAAAGTAGTTTACTGCATACTGCAATAAACAGAATAGAGGAAATCAGCTCTTATATACATTATTTAGGTTTACATATTGGTTGGAGAACTGGTCGTAAGAGGCTGTACTAAATTTAAAAAGTGAAACTTTCATTTTTCTTTTTAGGTCACCCTGCCTTGGTGGGATATGGTTGTTTAAAAAATTTAAAACAAAATGAGTGTTACTATGGTTTTTTTTTTTTTTGATGTTTATGTCATATTATATCAAATTTTATGAAAGTTCAGGTTTTATGGTGGCATTTTGCCTCTTAGTTCCATCTAGCTCATGATTTACATGCTGTACATATACAGTAGGGCCCTACTTATACAGCAGATTAGGTTCCAGGCTACTGCCTTAACCCGTAAACGATCCAAGCAGATCTACGTTCACATGTGTAGTGCTACAAAAGTAGATCTACGTTTTTTTTACATATTTTCAAATATAACAAAAAAAAAAACAAATCAAAGTTTTTTACACATTTTCAAATGTAAAAAAACAAAAAGAAGATCTACTTTTTTTACATACTTTCAAATGTTAAAAAAACGTATATATACGTTTGGACCGTTTACGGGTTAAAGCAAAAAGCACCTTAAAGTGGAATGCCATTTTTTCCACTTATAAATGCATATAAATGCTAGATAACAAGTTTACACTAACTTACATTAAGTTAGCAATAGAAATAGGCATTAAAAAAACAAAAAAGTAAAATACACATACAGTACACTCATTACTTACCTTAAAATATTTATAGTCTTAATGTAGGGTGAGAGGTGAGTAAACAAGATAAAATGAATAAATGAGAGAGAGAGTGAATGAGTACATGAGAGAGGACAGAGATGCGGAGTTATAAACCATACCACGGGCGGGGATAGAACCCATTATCAGAGAGTCTCAAAACTCCAGACCGTCGCGTTTTGAGACTCTCTGATCACGGGTTCTATCCCCACCCTTGGTATAGTTTGTCTGCAATCGTGTCATTACGATTTCATGAGTCATGTGGAGTTATGTAAATAAACATGAACGTGTCTGGTTTTGGTTTATACGTGTTTGATTTATACCATAATATAAACACACTACATTGTATACAAGTTGTCTTCACATTGATACAGTAGAATAAATGAAGAGCATCACTCCCATTCTCATGGAACACCATTTTTAGAAGAAATGACACTCTGAGTGAAGGCATACAAAAGGAATAATTTTCTTCAGTTACCCCCAGTAATTCTATAGTGTACACACTTTCTTTGATGTTGAGCTAGAGAAAACGTAATTTTTATCGTAACTCCTACAAGTCGCCTGGCTAACACATCTCATATTTACATTAATTTATTCTACTGGGGGGTGTAGTTATCATGTTTATATGTTACATAGCATGTTTATTATACAATTTTGAAAAAAAAAATATCATAGATGGATTAATGAAAATGTGTATATTAACGTAATATACGACATTTAATGTGCCTCAGTGATTATTATTGAATACATATTATTATCGTTATTAATAAGGCGTCTTGAGACATAAGACACTCTTACTGATTTTAATATGTACCTGCATGCTAGCACAGTGTGTAAGTATATTTAGGTACAGGTACACAGACAGTAAGTATAATTATCAGAGTAGATATACAGTATGAAATAATTTTAAAACACTTGAAATTTTGGAAAGTTTCCAGACATAATGGAGAGATGCGGAGCTCATGGAGAACGTAAACAAACCGGGTGGGGTGCGCCGTATTGGAAAAACAGTCGTATAGCGAGTTTTGGTCAAAATTTGAAATCGCCATATCAGCAGAATGCCGTAAGGTGAAATGCTGTAAATTGGGGTCCTGCTGTGCTTTAAAAGAGATTAAGGACAACAGGAATTTGTGATTCCAGTGGACCCCTGGTTATTGGCTGGTTTGGTTATCGGCCAACTCGGTTATTGGCGGGTTTTTCGGCGCCCGGTTATTGGCCTTGGTTATTGGCCGTGGTTATCGGCCATTTTGGACATGTCCATCCGCTGGCTGGGGCAGCTTGCGCTTCAGTTTGGCTTTGTCTCTCGGTGGCTGAGGAAGCTTCTGCTCATACATCCAAACCTTTCGCTTGTTTACCATTGTTTTTAGTGGTTTTTCTTGCAGTGCACTGTGAAATAACTAAAGATGGCTCCAAAGAAAGTTCCTAGTAAAGTTTCTGTGGTAAAGAAAGTGAGAAACACCATGGAATTTAAGCGTGAAGTGATAGAAAAGTTTGAGCGTGGTATGAAGGTGGTGGAACTTGCCAGGATGTACAGCAAGTATATATCAACAATTACATCCATCCTGGCAAAGAAAGAACAAATCAAAGATGCTAATGTTGCAAAAGAAGTAACTTTTCTAACCAAACAAAGGCCACCAATAATGGAAGAGATGGAAAAGTTATTATTATTGTGGATTAAGGAAAAAGAATTAGTGGGAGACAGTGTTGTGGAGTCGATCATTTGTGTGAAGGCAAAGCAGTTGCATGAGGATCTTGCAAAGAAAATGCCTGGAACAAGTGCTGCAGTTTGTGAATTTAGGGCCAGCAAAGGATGGTTTGATAGATTTAAGAAGTGTAGTGGCATACACAGTGTTGTAAGGCACGGTGAGGCTGCAAGTTCTGACAAATGTGCAGCTGAAGAGTATGTTTATGAATTCCAGGACTGTGTAAAGGCTGAAGGATTCGAGCCCCAACAAGTGTTCATTTGTGACGAAACAGGCCTGTTTTGGAAGAAAATGCCAAACAGGACCTACATTACCCAGGAGGAAAAGGCACTGCCAGGACACAAACCTATGAAAGACAGGCTTACTCTTTCGTTGTGTGGTAATGCTAGTGGGGATTTCAAAGTGAAGCCTTTTCTTGTGTATCACTCAGAAAATCCCAGAGTGTTTAAGCAAAACAATGTCATGAAGAATAGATTGTGTGTGATGTGGAAAGCTAATCATAAGGCATGGGCCACAAGGTAGATTTTCAAAGAGTGGGTTAATGATGTGTTTGGCCCAAGTGTGAAAAAATACCTCCTGGAAAAGAAATTGCCACTCAAGTGCCTCCTGTTACTGGACAATGCTCCTGCACATCCTCCAGACTTGCAAGACCAAGTGTTTAGGGACTTCAGTTTTATAAAAGTGAAGTTCTTGCCTCCTAACACCACTCCTCTTCTCCAGCCCATGGACCAGCGGTCATTTCTAACTTCAAAAAACTCTACACAAAAGCAGTGTTTCAAAAGTGCTTTGAGGTGACCTTGGACACTCAGTTGACCCTAAGAGAGTTCTGGAGGAATCACTTCACTATCCTCCATTGCATAAGCCTTATAGGTAAGGCTTGGGAGAGAGTGACTTCCAGGACTTTGAACTCTGCTTGGAGAAAACTGTGGCCAGATTGTGTACCTAAAGTCTTTATGGAGGGGGATTCCCCTTCCAAACACTAACTCCTCCCCCTTTCCTCCTCCCTGTCTTCCAGAAGCCAGTATTAGCCTTCAATAAAGGTATGTAATACTTACATAATTGTTAAAAAAAAAATTTTGTGAATATTTTTGTTTGAAATGGATTAATTGTATTTCCATTAATTCTTATGGGAAATATTATTTCAGTTATCGGCCATTTCGGTTCTTGGCAGATCTTCTGGAACAGATTACGACCGATAACTGGGGGTCCATTGTATTTCTATTTGATTCATACTTTCCTTTTCTTTATACGTGTATTGTGAATTTTTCTTTCAAAACTTCTCTTAGAATTTCATTTTCAGTATTTTCTGATGAATCAAAATTTTCTAGAGCCGTCTCCCTGGATTTAGTCAATCATACAGTGTTCCACTATCCAGTATATACTGTGACAGTTTCCACTGATATCTCTACTTTGCTTTATAATTTACATGTAATTTAGAGTGAGCTAAGGTTGCATGCACTGAACAATTTTTAACCCTTAAACGGTCCAAATGTATATATACGTTCTCTCCTGTAGCGCCCCAAACATATATATACGTTTCCTTTGTCATTCATTCAACATTGGCACAATAAGCCTGAGTCACCTAGACATGAGAGACTGGGCAGGCGATGCAAAATGCCCCCAATTAAAAGTAGGGGCGCCGTTGATACACTAAGGGAAAACACCATAAGTGTCCAGGACCCAAGACTGTTCAACAGCCTCCCATCAAGCATTAGGGGAATTGCCAATAAACCCCTGGCTGCCTTCAAGAGAGAGCTGGACAGATACCTAAAATCAGTGCTGTATCAGCCGGGCTGTGGCTCGTACGTTGGACTGCATGCGGCCAGCAGTAACAGCCTAGTTGATCAGGCCCTGATCCATCGGGAGGCCTGGTCATGGACCGGGCCGCGGAGGCGTTGATCCCCGGAATAACCTCCAGGTAACTCACTTTGCGCCATGTGAAAAAAATTGGGAACGCCTGGGTACCATATGCTCTTTTTTCCTATTAAAAAAAAAAAAAATTTTTCTCAAAAAATTTGGGCACTATGCGAGAGAATGTATATATATGTTTGGACCGTTTAAGGGTTAACAAGATTCATCAGTTATATATGTATTGTACAAGTATTTATGACTAAAAAAATTTTACTGTATTATATTCAACATGTATGTAATTTTTTAATGACAATGGATTGTTTGGGTGCAGCTGGTAGGTTCAGCTCCCCAGTTCCCACATGGCATCATCGATCCCATAGAAGAGATAGCAGCATTAGGCATTAAGTACAACATCCCTGTCCATGTTGATTCCTGTCTTGGAGGTTTTCTTATTCCATTCATGGAAGAGGCTGGCTACCCACTTCCACTGTTTGATTTCCGCTTGAAGGGCGTGACCAGTATATCAGCAGACACCCATAAGGTATGTTTTATTTTAGAAGTATATAGTAATGAGATTAAACTAAATCTAGAGAGTACTGTAATAAATTAAAGAAGCCACTAGGCCCTTTGGCCTGGTAGCTAAAGCTCTCGCTTCGCACCGCGAGGTTCTGGATTTGATTCCCGGCGAGGGTAGAAACATTGGGGTTGTTTCCTTACACCGGTTGTCTATGTTCCCCATCAGTAAAATGAGTTCCTGGGTTTTTGTCGACTGGTGTGGGTTTCATCCTGAGACAAAACTGACCTAATTTGCCCGAAATGCTCTGCATAACAAGTGGCTTTCTATATAGTAGTACTGTACATGTCATTGATGTCAGCTAGGCCTGTATTCCTTGTATGTGCACTTGTAGAAATAAAGATATTATAATAAGCACAAAAGAGTGGAGCATTGCAGTAGGTTTGATGGCCTATCCTCATTTGAATTATAATGTCTGTGCTTTTCTGGCTGGACAGCTGTTGAATGAATAATGGTGAATGTTCCTTTTAATGGGTCACCCTACCTTATGTGGAAGATTACTTTTGTGGTTAAAAAACTTTGTTATATGAAATATAACATATTAACCTTAGTGGAGATAAGCCTTCACAGTATTGTCATTTTTCTTAGTTATTGTATTGTGTTCAGAAAACATCTATTTAAAATGTACACTTTTGTCAAACCCTAAAATTATTTTTTTTTTTATTAACACACTGGCCGATTCCCACCAAGGCAGGGTGGCCCGAAAAAGAAAAACTTTCACCATCATTCACTCCATTACTGTCTTGCCAGAAGGGTGCTTTACACTACAGTTTTTAAACTGCAACGTTAACACCCCTCCTTCAGAGTGCAGGCACTGTACTTCCCATCTCCAGGGCTCAAGTCCAGCCTGCCGGTTTCCCTGAATCCCTTCATAAATGTTACTTTGCTCACACTCCAACAGCACATCAAGTATTAAAAACCATTTGTCTCCATTCACTCCTATCAAACATGCTCACGCTTGCCTGCTGGAAGTCCAAGCCCCTCGCACACAAAACCTCCTTTACCCCCTCCCTCCAACCTTTCCTAGGCCGACCCCTACCCCGCCTTCCTTCCACTACAGACTGATACACTCTTGAAGTCATTCTGTTTCGCTCCATTCTCTCTACATGTCCGAACCACCTCAACAACCCTTCCTGACCCCTCTGGACAACAGTTTTGGTAATCCCGCACCTCCTCCTAACTTCCAAACTATGAATTCTCTGCATTATATTCACACCACACATTGCCCTCAGACATGACATCTCCATTGCCTCCAGTCTTCTCCTCGCTGCAACATTCATCACCCATGCTTCACACCCATATAAGAGCGTTGGCAAAACTATACTCTCATACATTCCCCTCTTTGCCTCCAAGGACAAAGTTCTTTGTCTTCACAGACTCCTAAGTGCACCGCTCACCCTTTTCCCCTCATCAATTCTATGATTCACCTCATCTTTCATAGACCCATCCGCTGACACGTCCACTCCCAAATATCTGAATACATTCACCTCCTCCATACTCTCTCCCTCCAGTCTGATATCCAATCTTTTATCACCTAATCTTTTTGTTATCCTCATAACCTTACTCTTTCCTGTATTCACTTTTAATTTTCTTCTTTTGCATACCCTACCAAATTCATCCACCAACCAACAGTTCAATATTAATTCATCAAATCTGTACCTTATAAAGAGGAGACTGTAATTCTGTATTTTTTTTTTTTTTTCAAAAAACTAGTGTAACAATCCATTAGCTAGTAAGATAAATTAGTTAAGTATCTTAGTTATTAAGTTCAACACAATACTTATTCAAAAACCTAGTTGTAGAGTCACTCTCATTCTTATGATTACAAACATTGATCCAGATTTTAAGCTTTTATTAAATGACTTACACGAATCAAACAGCAACTGTAATTATTATACAGCAGACCAAGCTAAGACGTTACTCAGAGCTAACAATAACAAAACTATCTTTAATTACAATGTCAGATCCTTGAGCAAACATTACAATGACCTCACATCATTACTCAATTTCCTTAATTCCAGTATGTCAATCATCACACTCACAGAAACTTGGCTAAAGGCTGGCATTACTGATGTCTATGCTATTCCTGGATACCCAGCTATAAACAACTGTAGGACAGACCAGCAAGGGGGTGGAACAGCTTTATACTACTCAAATCAACTTGGCTGTATCAATAATTCTTGCACATGGGATGAGCATGGTGAATATATTATAGCTAAACTTAAATCAAGAGACCTGCAAAAACCCCTCACAGTCATAAACATCTACAGAGTACCACAGTCAAACATTTACCACTTTAGTGAAAAATTAGGGAATTTGATAACTGATGAACATACGAACAAAGACCACCTACTAGTAACAAGATTTCAACGTAAATCTACTACATGACCAGGACCCACGAGTAACTGAATTCACAAACACTGTGAGCAACTGCTTGTTGCTACCAACAATATCAAAGCCTATAAGAATCTCCCAGAATGGTATCTCTTTATTGAACCACATCTGGACTAACACCATATCCCCTTTAAAATCAGGCATAATCACAGACAACACCACAGACTACTACCCTACCTTTCTCATAACCAACCTAGGTAAATTGCCCCAAGACACTACTAAAGTTACCTTCAGACTGCATAATGAAACAGCTGTAAATAACTTCATAGCAGCTATGAATAATGTCGACTGGCATAATGAGCTTGAAACATATACAGACACTAATGAATGTATTAATAATTTTATAAAAAGAACCCACTACCTCTATGAGAAGCATTGTCCTAAACAAACTAAACAGCTTGCAGCAAAGAGACTAAATAATCCCTGGCTAACATCCACCATCCTCAAATCCATTAACACAAAGCACCAATATGAAAAACAGTACAGAATGGGTCATATAACTAGAGACTAGTCTAAACATTACTCGTCAGCCCTTACCAGCCTGATAAGAAGGTCTAAAAAGTTGTGTTATGTAAACAAATAGCAAAACTTCAAAGGTGATATAAAAAAGACCTGGAAAACCCTATCTGAAATTCTAGAAACTAAAAGGATATCCAAAAACTAAACAATCAAATTAACAAAATCAGATGAACCCCTACTCCCACCAACTGAAACAGCAGACACACTCAGTGTTTTCCTCTCCACCATAGGAAAGAATCTAGCAAGCAAAATCCCAAGCTCAAACACCCATCCATCAGACTACCTCACAGGCACCTACCTGCGTACACTGTTTCTAGCTCCAACCAACCCAACATAGGTCTGGCTCATCATCAACACCCTTAAGAACAAAGCAGGAGACATAAACAACTTGCCTACTTTTATGTACAAAAAAGCTTCACAAGTATTGTCACCAATTATTGTGACACTCTTTAGCAAATCCATTGAATCCTCCACCTTCCCAGCAGTTCTCAAAATAGCGAGGGTTACCCCGATCCACAAAGGAGGTGATCAAGCCGACTTGAATAACTATAGACCAATATCTAACCTACCACTACTCTCTTAAATCTTTGAAATATTAATTCATAGACGGATCTATTCCTACCTCATCTCAAACAACATACTAAACCCTTGTCAGTTTGGATTCAGGAATAATAAAAGCACAAATGATGCTATTATACACATGCTAGAGCTAATATATACCGCTCTCAAGAAGAAAGAAGTCCACTGGGAATTTTCATTGACTTACGTAAAGCTTTTGATACAGTCGACCATGAATTGCTGCACACTAAATTAACACACTATGGTATAAGAGGCCACTCCCTCAACTACATAAAGTCATACCAAAGTAACAGAAGCCAATACATGTATGCAAATAGTGCAAACTCTTCCACATACCCAATCACAGTAGGAGTCCCACAGGGAAGTGTCCTGGGACCACTCCTCTTTCTCATCTACGTCAATGACCTACTGAATGCATCACAGCTACTCAAACCCATATTATTTGCAGATAACACTACATACATCTTCTCACACCCAATCCCAGCCATACTTGCCAACACTGTCAATGCTGAATTGCAAAAAATATCTACCTGGATGATGACAAATAAACTTACCCTAAATACTGACAAAACCTATTTCATTCAGTTTGGAACCAGAGCTGCAAATGTTCCACTTAACATAACACTAAATGGATCACCCATCACAAGACTCACAGAGGGAAAATTCCTAGGAATCCACCTAGACAGTAGCCTCAAATTCCAGACACACATACAACAAATTTCCAAGAAAATCTCTAAGACAGTAGGCATACTATCAAAGATACGGTACTATGTTCCACAATCAGCTCTTCTTGCACTGTATCACTTGCTCATCTACCTTTATCTCATATATGAAATTTGTGCATGGGGGTCAACAACATCAAATCACCTAAGGCCTCTAATAACACAGCAAAAGGCTGCAATCATTAAGATAACAAATTTCCACTCGCAACAACATACTCCACCTCTATTCAAAAGTCTAAATTTGTTCACCATAAAGAACATCCACACTTACTCATGTGCCTACTACATACATAGAACAATACATGCAAGCATAAACCCTCCATTGAAACTTCTCCTCGCCAACCTTAACAGGACACACGACCATAACACAAGACACAGATCTCTTTATGATGTACCCCATGTCCATATCACACTGTGAATATAAAAATGGTATAAAATGCCGACAGGTTATTAGGTAAGACACGTGCAACAGTTAGGTATCTTTATTTTGAAACATTTCGCCTACACAGTAGGTTTCTTCAGTTGAGTATAGAAAAGTTGATAGAAGAGACGTGAAGACAATGTAATCAGTCCATCACTCTTGAAGTTTTGAGGTGGTCAGTCCCTCAGTCTGGAGAAGAGTATTGTTCCATAGTCTGAAACAATATGGAGTTGAAGTGACAGGATGGAGCCTTATATACCACCAGGAGGTGAGATGTAGGCCACTAGTAGAGGTAAGAATGTAGTCGTTGGGAGGTCATGTCCCTCTCAGATCCAGCCATTCTCACTAGTAGAAGTTGTTCAAGTTGTTTTCTGTTCTGTACCAAGATACCATTGTGTTGCAGTGTCTGACAGAATGAATATAAAAATGGTATAAACTGCCGACATGTTGTTAGGTAAGACACATATGCAACAGTTAGGTATCTTTATTTTGAAACGTTTTGCCTGCACAGTAGGCTTCTTCAGTCGAGTACAGAAAAGTTGATAGAAGAGACGTGAAGACAAGGTAATCAGTCCATCACCCTTGAAGTTATGAGGTGGTCAGTCCCTCAGTCTGGAGAAGAGTATTGTGTAGGCAAAACGTTTTGAAATAAAGATACCTAACTGTTGCATATGTGTCTTACCTAACAACCTGTTGGTAGTTTATACCATTTTTATATTCATTCTGTCAGACACTGCAACACAATGGTATCTTGGTACAAAACAGAAAACAACTTAAACAACTTCTACTAGTGAGAATGGCTGGATCTGAGAGGGACGTGACTTCCCAACAACTACATTCTTACCTCTACTAGTGGCCTACATCTCGCCTCTTGGCGGTATATAAGGCTCCATCCTGTCACTTCAACTCCATATTGTTTCAGACTATGGAACAATACTCTTCTCCAGACTGAGGGACTGACGACCTCAAAATTTCAAGGGTGATGGACTGATTAGATCGTCTTCACGTCTCTTCTATCAACTTTTCTGTACTTGATTGAAGAAGCCTATTGTGTAAGCGAAACGTTTCGAAATAAAGATACCTAACTGTTGCATATGTATCTTACCTAACATATCACACTGTAAAAACTCTATGCACATAAAGGGCCCCAAAATCTAGAATTCATTACCAGAATATACTAAAGTAACCAGGCCTGAAAATCAATTTAAGACTCTTCTAAAAAACTACTTACTCGCCCAGGACTAAATAATCAACACTCAATATTTAACATTACCAATAATTCTCCCAATTACTTAAATCTTAAAAGTTCAAGACAACATATAGTAAATTGATCATCTTGTTTGTTATACATTGTAATGTGACAAAATTTTCAAATTTCATTGTTTCAAATACTCAGTTGTACTTTATATTGTAAATTGTTTACTGTAATTTCTACCACTGAACCTTTCATTGCTTGTTAATTTTAAGTTAATTTTAAGCCTGCTCATATTGCTTTGCATACAAGGGACTTTTGGCATGGACACCCAACTAGTACTATAATTTCTTGTACAACAATGTATCATGTCCAAATAAACTGTATATGAATGAATATAAATGAATACTCAGAATTTGTCCCTGTCATATGCCCACATTGTGCATTTGCAAGATGTTCAAGAAATGTTTATTGGTATATTAAACTTGCATACTAATTATGATTTAAACTAAATGAACACCAATTAATCATTTAATATAAATTTGGTAAAATTTCACTTTATAGGTAAATAAAGTATTTTTGTTTACAGTAATCTTATGTAGCAAACCATGTGTGGTCTTGTGTGGTAGTGAATATATATGTTTTTGTAACATTGAAAAATGAAGGTCACAGTAAAGGAAAGGTTAATAAATTGTTTGCATTTCTCAGTATGGATATGCTCCCAAGGGTTCATCGGTAGTAATGTACAGAGAAGACAAGTGGCGCCACCATCAGTTTTTTGTCACCCCAGACTGGCAAGGTGGCATCTATGCAACAGCAACAATTGCAGGATCCAGATCAGGAGGTAATAAGTTGATTGTATGGTAACTGTCACCTTGAATTTATTTTTAAGTGAGTTTTGTTGCATTCTTTAACCCTTTCAGGGTCAAGAGGCCCTCTCCCAAACTTGTTCTCAGGGTCAAAAAATTTTCAGAAGAAAAAAATTATTTTTTATGAAAAGATAGAGAATCTTTTCCAGATCATAATGACACCAAAAGTGTGAAATTTGATGGAAAACTTACGGATTTATGCTCTCGTGAAGTTAGCGGTCTCGACGATGTTTACGCATCGGCGATTTCGCTCACTTTGAGCCCTATTTTCAGCAAATTCCAGTGTACTAGTCGAAAAAATCATAACTATTTCGCTAGAACTCCATTTTTTCTATCGAATGAGTACAAGAAACACCCATTTACCGATTTCGACTATCCTATAAAGTGGTCAGAAATTAGCAATTTTGCCAATTTCAAACAAATTTCAGAAGATGCCAATTTCCAAATAGGGTCCAGAATAAACAAGACAGACATTCTTGGCACTAAAATAACATTTCCTCTGTTCATTAGTCACGTCCCCAGGCCCCTCTTACATTTCTTCTTCTTTCCACTTTGAATTTTTATTCTTACAAAAAATAGAAGATTTACTGTTATGCAGACTTCTGCATTAGTGTAGAAATGGTATAAATAATATCAGCACACTTGTGAGAGAATATTAGACTCACCAGTTGACGTGTATTGGATGCGTGGCATGATTTGTTTACTTTTGAACTTTGGCAAAAATTGAACATTTCTGCTGCTTTGAGCTCAATTTCAAGGTACTTTTCATTGTGTAACCAATCAAAGTCATATCAGTTTCTGTAATATGTCTTCCATTCTATAAAATGAGACCAGGAAAACTAGAGTACAACCATAAATACCATTCGAAAATACAGTGCAGAGTCGCTGTTTTAAACCAGAAACATGGTCAAAGTTTTTTTTTTTCTCATTACGCACTGTGTGCTGCAGGATTTTTTTTTATACTGTGCACACTGACCACATAGACTCATTCTTTCATGTGTAGGCCTACCAGCTTTCTCTCACTAGATTTGAAGGCGCTAGAATTTAGGCATACTAGTACGTCAATAACCCTGGTGCATAAGCCGTACTAGTACGTCGGAAACCCTGAAAGGGTTAAGGCAAAAGAAATATATTGTTTTCAGAGATTAAAAGTGAGAGATAACAAAGTGAGGCAAAACTTGTATGAATGAACATAAGAACATAAGAAAGAAGGAACACTGCAACAGGCCTACTGACCCATGCGGAGGAGGTCCATGTTCTCCCCCCCCAGATTAACCCAATGACCCACCCTTCCCCGGATTAGCCCAATGACCCTCCCAGTCTGGTCGCCTCTACTCAAGGATGGAGCACGGCATTGTAGATGAATGGTTCAAAGAACCGACACATTGTTAAATTAGACACATGTGCAACTCTTGGGTATCTATATTGAGGAAACGTTTTGCCACACAGTGGCTTCATCAGTCCATACATAGGAGAAACTTGAAGAACAGGAGGAGAATGAGGTAATCAGTCCCTCAACCTTGAGTCGATGTGGTCAGTCCATCAATCTTGAATAGAATACAGCATATGAGCGGAGAAGCAGCTTATAAACCGTATGGCAGGAGAGGTGCAGCAGTCATAGGTGGTGTTCACATTTGTTCAATGTGGAAGTAGGTCGTGCCCAAGGGTTAGGCAAGCGAAGAATTCCCAAGTATTAAGATCCCAAGAAGTTGCAGTGTCTGACAGGATTGTAGATGAATGGTTCAAAGAATGGTTCAGTCCATACGTATGGACTGATGAAGCCATTGTGTGGCGAAACGTTTCCTCAATAAAGATACCCAAGAGTTGCACATGTGTCTAATTTAACATGGAGCACGGCACCAGACCCAGCAGCACAAGCTAGTCAGGTCCAACTCACACCCACCCACACCCACTCATGTAGTATTTATCTAACCTATTTTTAACCCTTTCAGGGTCCGTCCCGTAGAACTATGGCTTTACGTTCAGGGCCCAAACCGTAGATCTACGCCAAAATTCTAGTGGCGTCAAATTTAGCACGAGAAAGCTGGGTAGGCCTACATCTGAGAGAATGGGTCTGGGTGGTCAGTGTGCACACCATAGAAAAAATCTGGACGCCCGCATGGCATTGTGGGAACGCCGGCAAAGTAGCTTTGTTCATAGTGCCTGGCGGCAAGGAAGCTCTCACTCCCCACTCACTCTTGGGGCGAATTCTGACTCTCCTCTTTACAACTTACAGTTCTAAGACTGATGGAAGTGGACCTGAAACGAATTCTATGGTTTTGAACCATATGGTACCATTGTGCCATATGGTACAATGGTACCATATGGTACAATGTACCATATAGTGCATTGTACCATATGGTACATTATACCATATTTGGGACCCGGGTACGGGACCCTAATGAAATAAATCTGTCTGACTTTTTTGGGTTATCCTAGGTCTCCACACATATTCTCTAGGTATGATATTCTAAAGTAACTTTATTTGTGTATAACAAATAAACTTATGATGCCACATGCACTTGAGTAAAAATTTATCAGTGTACAGAAATATAATTAAATTAGATTATCATACATAGCAGCATATGTATAAAACTTAGGTAACCCAAAAAATCAGGGTGACTTATTTCAATAGTTATCCCTGTATCTGTAACCATATGGTGTCCTGTAAATGAAAGTACCCAGTAACCATATGGTACCCTGTGCCATATGGTACCCTGTGCCATATGGTAACCCTGTACCATATGGTACCCTGCCCCCAATATGTTATCCTGTACTGCATGGTACTCTAAACCATATAGTACAATGTACCATATGGTACCCGTAACAATGATACCGTGTACCATAGGACAATAGGGGTTGGTGGCATGAGACACCAACCAAGACTGAGTGAGTGGCGACACAAGCAAGCTACTGACTCTCCAGTTTTCCGAGACAAAGTGCTTTGTCATCCACCTCAAGGAACACGTCAAGATCCTGTACACTTGTAAATATAAAATGAACATTACTAATATACAACATTTGCATATTTTTGTTGTAAACAACTATTGTAAACAAAATAGTAATGAAAATATTAGTGTTTATTTGTGTTGAATACAACAATACTATATGGTGCAATGAACGATATGGTATCATTGTACTGAAATGGTACAATGTACCATATGGTACCATTACATCATATTGGTACCATAAGGAAACCATTGCACCATACAGACCATTGAAATCATATGGTACCATTGTACCAAATGGGCCATTGTACCATATGGTGCCATTGTATCATATGTACCATTGTACCCATTGGTACCATTGTATCATGTGCCATTGTGTCATATTGTACCATATGATACCATTGTATCATATGGTGCCATTGTACCATATGGTACAATTGCACCCTATGGCACCATGTACCATATGGTACCGTTGTATTCAACACAATAACCGCACAAAATATTTTCATCATTTTGTTTAAAATTTAAACTTGTAAACAAGTTTTGTAAGCAATATAATAAACAAATTAGTGCAGTTATTGCGTGGAATACAATGAGTGTACACTAATACAATATACATTATACTGGTCTCACAGGCCACAAATGTTATTAGAAAAAGAAAAAAATAGAAAAGAAAAGAAAAAAGTATAAAAAACGTAAAATAAAAAAAATGGGATTTTGCGGAAGTCGCTGATGTCGCCGCCACCTGGTCATTTTGGGTCAACTTCCCGCTGCTGTATCTCGGTAAGTACTGATCAGAAATTTTTGTTTTTTGTCTTATTACCTTCACAAAAATATACTCTTTAATTCTGTAAGAAAAAATAATTTTTTTTTTCCAAAATTTCTTGGACACTGGGGCACCCCTTCAGATTTTGGCCTTGGACCCTGAAAGGGTTAAACACTAAGTCTCTCTATTATGTCTAGAAACTCCAAAATTTCAAGTATTTTTAAGTTATTTCATATTTTATGTTTTTTTTTTTTTTTTTTTTTTTTTTTTTTTTTTGCAACAAGTCGGCCGTCTCCCACCGAGGCAGGGTGACCCAAAAAAGAAAGAAAATCCCCAAGAAGAAAATGCTTTCATCATCATTCAACACTTTCAAAACACTCACACATAATCACTGTTTTTGCAGAGGTGCTCAGAATACAACAGTTTAGAAGCATATGTGTATAAGGATACACAACATATCCCTCCAAACTGCCAATATCCCAAACCCCTCCTTTAAAGTGCAGGCATTGTACTTCCCATTTCCAGGACTCAAGTCCGATTATATGAAAATAACCGGTTTCCCTGAATCCCTTCACTAAATATTACCCTGCTCACACTCCAACAGATCGTCAGGTCCCAAGTACCATTCGTCTCCATTCACTACTATCTAACACGCTCATGCACGCTTGCTGGAAGTCCAAGCCCCTTGCCCACAAAACCTCCTTTACCCCTTCTCTCCAACCCTTTCGAGGACGACCCCTACCTCGCCTTCCTTCCCCTATAGATTTATATGCTTTCCATGTCATTCTACTTTGATTCATTCTCTCTAAATGACCGAACCACCTCAACAACCCCTCTTCTGCCCTCTGACTAATACTTTTATTAACTCCACACCTTTTCCAAATTTCCACACTCTGAATTTTCTGCATAATATTTACACCACACATTGCCCTTAGACAGGACATCTCCACTGCCTCCAACCATCTCCTCGCTGCTGCATTTACCACCCAAGCTTCACACCCATGTAAGAGTGTTGGTACTACTATACTTTCATACATTCCCTTCTTTGCCTCCATAGATAACGTTTTTTGACTCCACATATACCTCAATGCTCCACTCACCTTTTTTCCCTCATCAATTCTATGATTAACCTCATCTTTCATAAATCCATCGGCCGACATGTCAACTCCCAAGTATCTGAAAACATTCACTTCTTCCATACTCCCTCTCCCCAATTTGATATCCAATTTTTCTTTATCTAAATCATTTGATACCCTCATCA